ATCTCAAATCGTTAATTTTTCCTCCGGTTTAATAGTATAAATTCTTGAAGAAACCTACCACTTAGCTACCTTTATTACAAGATATCAGAATGTTTTCCTACATTAGAACTATTATAATTACACACAATGATTAATACCTGCCCTGTAAGTAGCTGGTAAAGAGCCAAATGAGATAACATTACTTACTTAAAAGAAGGAAATTTATTAGATCAAAGAAGATGGCATAACAAAGAACTATGAAGTGAGAAACCCACCAGTCCCTTTCGGCTGAGCCAGGGGTAAGCAGTCTTTAACTAGACTTATCTGTCATCTGGATTTGAGAAATGCCCCGATTTCCATGAAACACTTAAGAACCACACAAGTCTTATCAATATCCAAAGCAGGCAACTCTACTATATAATTATCACTACCAAATTCAACCTTATAAAACTTCTGTTTAAAGGAGATTAGGGGAGGGTGGTAGAATGTGGGGACAGAGCATACAGCCCTCTGTGGGATTTTGTCCAGTCATCATTTCTTCTCTTTTTTTTTTTTAATTTATTTTATGTGCACTGGTGTAAAGGTGTCAGATCCCCTGGAATTGGAGCTACAGACAGCTGTGATCATGTGGGTGCCGGGAACTGAACCCAGGTCCTCTGGAAGAGTATCTAGCAATCGCAACCACTGAGCCATCTCTCAAGGCCGTTATCCTTTCAATGTACTATAATTGCCATTAGTCGGGCTGGAGAGATGGCTCAGTGGTTAAGAACATTGCCTACTCTTCCAAAGGTCCTGAGTTCAATTCCCAGCAACCACATGGTGGCTCACAACCATCTGTAATGAGGTCTAGTGCCCTCTTCTGGCCAGCAGGCATACAGACAGAATGTTGTATACAAAATAAATAAATTTAAAAAAAAATTAAAAATATAATTGCCATTAGTTTCAGCCCCACCTTGTCTCTAACAGTCAGCAGATAAAGTAAAAGAGGAAGCTNCATTGAAAAAAAAAAGAATGCTAGGCTATGGTGCCCCATGCTTTTGATGCCAGCATTCAGGAGGCAGAGGCAGATAAATCTCTTGAGTTCAAGGCCAGCCTGGTCCACCTAATGAGTACCAGAACAGCCAGAGATACAGAGAAACCTGGGGGGGGGGGGGGGGGGGGCTTCTTCTAGACACTTCCTTCACAAGGTAGGAGAGGACTGGCTGACAAAAGTTGTCCTCTGATCTTCAACCTGGCACCATGGTGCCCAAATAAGCAAGATAATAAAAACTGAAAAGTGTGATAATAAAATTGAAAACTTTTCTATGTTAAACTCAATTAATAGTTTGATTTTGCCATTCCACAACGTATATCAAATATCATGTACCCCATAACTACAATTTTGTCAGCTAAAGACAACAAAGATTTACTCAATAGTCCAATAGTCTCCTTTCTTCCTCACCCCATACTTTTTTTTTTTTTTTTTTTTTTTGGTTTTTCGAGACAGGGTTTCTCTGTGGTTTTGGAGCCTGTCCTGGAACAGGCTTTTGTAGACCAGGCTGGTCTCAAACTCACAGAGATTCGCCTGCCTCAGACTCCCAAGTGCTGGGATTAAAGGCCTGTGCCACCACAGCCCAGCCTCACCCCATACTTTCATGTGTTATCTTCCAGTCTTGCATATTCTCAAGCTGAATTTGACCTGTCCCTCAAAACTCATCTGTATAGTCCTTCAATGACACCAATGCAACCTTATCTTCCTCTCTAAATCTGTCCTCGTTTGCTTTGCTGTTGTGCATTATATGACCTTTCCATGAATCCCTGACTTCAGATAGACAATACAAGACAGTTCCATTAAGAAACAAGTTGCTAGCCTGGTGGTAGCACATGACTTTAAACCCACCTCTCAGGAGGCAGAGGCAGGTGGATGTCTGAGTTAGAGGATAGCTAGGTCTACAGAGCAAGTTCCAAGACAGCCAGAGCTACACAGAGAAACCCTGTCTCCAAAAACAAAAAAATGAAAACAACAACAACAAAAGAATCACGTTGCTGAGTTGGGGGTGAAAGGGTGTTGCCTGTAATCCCAGTAACAGGAGGCTTAGGCAGAGAGTTCTTGAGTTCAAAACTAGCCAGAGCTATCTATATAAGAAGAAATAAATAAATACCTTAAGACAGTTCAGTAGTAAACACTTACCTGCCTAGCATGTATAAAGGTCTGATTCAGTCCTCAAGACCACAATGCACTTTAGTTTATCTAAGTAAACTCCGCAAAGGTTGCACATGCATGAAAACACTCTAATTCTCAGAATGTGTCCCCATCCTTAAGCAATGCATGACTGCTAATATTTCCATGTTTGCCTTAGCTTTCAAAAAAAAAAAAAAAAGCTGTGGTCCTTAAGAACAAGAACCACACATGCTTTCACCTCACCTCTAGGGCATCCAGCAGAGAACACTGTATGCAGGCAGCATTTGGTTATATTAAACACTGATAAGCTTCAATTTACAAGTCAGGTCTAACAAGCAATAAATCAGAGTAAAAAGACCAACAAACATTATCATGCATCTAACTAATGCTTACAAAAAATACCTAAAAAGCTTTTAAATCATCCCTTTGAAGTAAAGACTTCGGGTAATCAAAAGAAAGACATTTAGATAGTATGTCTTCTCACTCTGAAAGGCAAATTGGTGAATGCACTTACAGATCCAAAGGCTAACGTTGTAATGTCTTAACAAGGCATCAATCACATTCAATAACATGTCATCAGTATTACACAGTGGCTGAATTCCAGACTCCTTCTCTGTAGTAAGAGTTCTAGTATCTGCCGGGAAAAATAAGATATCCATTCTTTCCCAAATTGAAATACGGCAGACAGCACATCAGCATACAGCAAAGGCAGCAAGTGAAACCAGTCAGCATTAGACATAGCTAATTATGAAGTTGGGGGTGGAACAAACAGGACAGGAAATGTCTTCGTTGACTCAATAGCACAACTTTTTTTTTTTTTCGGTTTTTCGAGACAGGGTTTCTCTGTGGCTTTGGAGCCTGTTCTGGAACTAGCTCTTGTAGACCAGGCTGGTAATAGCACAACTTTTAAGTGAAGTCCTTATTCACTGGACTCCATTTGTGCTAATAATACAGAAACAAACTTAGTAAAGCCAGATGCAGTGGTGCACACTTTTAATCCCAGCACTTGGTAGGCAGAGACAGGTGGATCCCTGGGAGTTAGAGGCCAGCCTGATCTGAATATCAAGTTCCAGGGCAGGGAGAACTACATGGTAAAACCCTGATGCAAAAAGCAAACAAACAAAGAGTGTACTCAAGACACCATAAATATAGCCACCCGTTTTAAGAAGAAACCTCGACAACCCTCCCAAAGAAAAAAGAACTATAATTCTTACAAAGACAATTAGTCAAAAGCATGATTAACACCTTGCCAGTCTCTCCACAGTACTACCACTCAAAGGAGCTTCTGGTTTGTGGGTGCTGGCTCGGGCTAGCATGCTGCAGATGCGTTTTCTTCTCAAACCGTAGCCTGACCTCTCTATTGGCTGACAGCCTGGCAGAAACCAGTGAGAACCAGTTTTGTTTGTTTGTTTGTTTTTCTTCATTTTTCGAGACAGGGTTTCTCTGTAGCACTGGAGCCTGTCCTAGAACTCGCTCTGTAGAACAGGCTCGAACTCACAGAGATCCGCCTGCCTCTGCCTCCCGAGTGCTGGGATTAAAGGCGTGCGCCACTACCGCCCGGCTGAGAACCAATTTTATAGCAGAGGAAAGCAGCCCCAGCATTATGTTCTGTGTTTTTTTTCTGAACAGAAAGGATGAAGAGGTGGGCTGGGGAAGTGGAGCTAAAGACACTGGCAGCGTGACATCTAAAATAAACTAAGTTGAAACAGTACGTCCTGCTTTCTTCCTAAAGCCATTTCCTTCAATAGCAACAGGGAGCGCAGACGGTCTGCAAGTCATTAGTACAGCGCTATTTTCACTTTCACAAGAACCCACAGAACCATTGAAGAACACAATCTCCCTCTTCCCCGCTCCCTTCCAAACCTCCTCTTTCCGCACTTCGCTGCCACCTATTAGGGAGTCCTCGGCGGTCCGCTATTTTGTCTCACTGAGGATGCCGGAAGGGGGAGGATCTGGTTGAGAAGTAGTGGGGAAAGAGGGAGAAGAAGGTGAGACGCAACCACGAAAAGAGTACAGGGAGGGGGGGGGGATAGGTCATCGCGGAAAGGAGACAGAGGAGGGGAGCGCAAACAAACGGAGCGGAGACTTAACGGAGAATTCACCGGGGAAGACAAAAAGATGGGGGTGGTGTTGAAGGGCGGAAGCGAAATGAGAGGGGCAGGTTGGAGCGGCCGCGGAAATGAGGGCTAGGCAGGAGTGACCGACCGGGGCCCTGACGCCTAGCATTTGCTGCCGGTGCAAGGCGACAGCGGGCAGCAGGTACCGAGGACACCGGTGTCAGGGGAATCACGGGTCTGCAAGGCAGCCGAGACCCAGTTTCCAGCCTACGGGGCCAAGGATCTACGCGTCGCCCGAGGGCAGGACACACGGGGCTCTTACCGGTAGTTTGGGGCTGACCTCGCCCTTACAAAAGTGGCAGAAGAAACGGTGCGCGGCGACAGCGGAGCCCGCGTCCGCCCCCGCTGCCGAGGCCTCCGCCATGTTTCGCCTCCGCCGCGGATGTCCGAAAGGGCGGCCGGCGGTCCCTCCCCAGGCCGCTACCTCCCGGGCTGCGGTCGCCGCCGCCGTCGTCGCCGCCTCCTCTGTGCGGCCGGCCGCTCCTGGGCCCGCAAGGGTCACGTGAGTCCGCCCAGCCCCGAGAGACCCGCCCGCCAGCGGCCGCGCGACCCGAGGCCCGCCTCCCGGCTCCAGAGCCAGAGGAGAGCCCGCCCGCCGGCACCTCAGACAGCCCCTGGCCGGTCCTCCAGCCTTCCACCGAGAGTAAGGAGAGAGCGTCCCCGGAAACCACCGACACCGTCGGCTAGAGCGGCCCGTGCGCGCAGCGCTTCCGCGTCCGCCTCGATGGTGCTCTACTTTCGAGAAGGGGCGGCGGGCTGGCCCCGAGCTTAGGCTGCTGGTCTCCGGAGGATAACATTTGGAGCTTCTAAATTAGCACTGACCCTGAGGTTAGTGAAAAACGACCCCGGAATGTGGAGGCCCTGACTCAGGGCCAAGAAGCGAAGTCCGGAACAGGAACTCGCATGAAGGGAAAGGAGCCAGGCGCCTTGAAACGCTTTTCAAGGATGGCATCTGATGTGGGGATGTTGCTCCAAAGACGAGTGGATAAGTGAAATATAGCCTCCTCTGCGACAACGTGGCAAGAGGGACAAAGACTTAGGTACTAAAGCGTTGGAGAGATAGATGAATAATGGCAGGAATAACTTGTGATAGGGAGGTAATTTTTAAATCAGCTCCATCCATTTCTGCTTGTGTCCCATTTGTCACAGAGTAGAAATTTAACATGGTTCTCAAGGGAACATAATTTCTCCTAATTGAAACACCCTGTTGAGAAGCTCTTCTTTACTTGCTGGCTTCTAAATTGAGGTTTATGGCTAGGGAATGATACTTTGTACTCCTACGGAGCTATGGGCCATAGTTATTTGTATCTATGACAGATTGCAAGTCATTTGCACACACACACACAAACACACACCTTTTTTTTTTTAGTGGTCTTACTCTCTGGACCAAGTTTGTTTGGTATTCATTATGTAGCCCACGTGAGCCTTGATTACAAATGTGAGTCCCCATACCTAGATAAATCCAATCTTTAAAGATTATTGAAACCACATATAATCCCATAAAAGTAAATAAAATAGAGGAAAATGGCCTTTTTTTTTTTGAGACAGGGTCTCACGTAGCGAGGCTGGCATGGGACTCAGTGTGTAACCTTGAACCCCTGACCCTCCTGCCTTCACCTCTCAAGTGTACAACTACAGGCTTGCACCACCATACCTGACTTTAGAAAATACATTTGATGTTTAGTTTTTCCAGTCTTTTGTTTTGGTGGGTGGGCGTATCACCCACCAGAGTCTCACTGTCCAGCACAAGCTGACTTTGAACTCACTTTGTATCCCAGGTTGGCCTGGAACTATTGATCATTTTGTTTCTGCCTCCTGAGTGCTAGAATTGCAGACAGTGTACACCATCATACCCGGCCATCACAATACTTCTATTACTACACATTACAAGTAATGGTATGCTACTTATAGTGTGCAAAGTCATTTTAAATATTGGTGTAGTGTATACTCATTTAATTTATTGACAGATGCTGGGCTGTTTTAGTATACAGTGCCAGTATTATGAAGAGAACAAATGGCATGTTTTTTATTATTATTATTTCCATGGAATAAAGGAACCCAAATTAAAGCATTAAAGCAAATATAGGCAAGATTTTAAGGTTTTGATGTGTATTGTCAAGTTGCCTTCTAGAAAAAAAAAATGTGAATTTATATCGTTTCCTAGTTCTGAAGCTCCAGGCACAATGACTCAAGCAGAAATTAAACTGTGCTCTTTATTGCTGCAAGAGCATTTTGGTGAGATTGTTGAAAAAATTGGAGTCCACCTAATCAGAACCGGCAGCCAACCTCTTAGAGTAATTGCCCATGACACGAAAACATCCCTGGACCAGGTATGTTTAGAGAATATCAGTTTGCTCCCTTTTGCTTCTTTAATTCATTTCCTTCAGCCACCTTTTAACAGTGGTACTCCTTCCCCTAGAAAATAGAAATAAAAAATCCTGCCCTATGATCAGAATCACCATTGGGTGGGGTGGGGGTGTGGTATTGTACTTAGGCCCCAGAGTGCTGTTCCTCAGAGTGTCCTTAGCTCGTGTTTGCTGTCCCCACGTCACACTCATTCATTCACAGTAAGTCTACTAATCTGGCACTGTCTTTGAGGAATAAAAATGATAGGCAAAACAGGTCAATTGTGGCGTGAAAGATTTTTGTCGTGGTCCTGGCTGAGGAGGTAGCTCAGTTGGTGGAGTGACTTCATAGCATGTAGTATGTTCTGGTTTGATCGCCAACACTTTATAAAACTGGGTGTGGTGATTTTTGTTTAAGATCCCAGCACTTGAAAGGTGAAAGCTCAAGGTCATCCGGGCTACCTTGAGCTCCGTGAGACCCTGATTCAAAATGGAAAACTAGAAAGATAGAGATCAAGGATAAAATGGGCATCATAGCAAGGAATTCTCTTGCTCTCTTCCACTGACATTTGGTTCTTATTAACTTCATTGATACAAAGAAGAAGTAAGAGTCTATGTGCAGTCAAGTCAAATTCAGTCCCTGTCCTGTCATGGTGGGAACTGGCCCAGATGGCTGCCAAAACAAGTTCTGCAGCTCATGGGCCCTGGGTCCCCTGTCCTGGGACCTGAGGATAAGTTTGGCTGCAGATATTGTACTGTAGGCACAGGAGTCCTTGGTGCAGACAAGAGGCAGGTCCTGTTGGGATGGGTCTGTGTTGTTTCAACTCAGACCGAGTTGCTTTTAAAAATAAGCCCAAAAAGATTCAGTAAATTCTTGGCTAGTGATCAGATGCTTCCTAAGCTGTCGGGAGTGGGCGGTATTGCCAGCGGTCATGAGCTACATAGCTCTAGGTCTTTCTTTCTTTGTGTCCCATCTAGGTGAAAAAAGCACTTTGTGTCCTCATCCACCATAACCTGGTGATCTATCGTGTGCATAAGCGCAGTGTGGTGGAGTATGAAGCCCAGTGTAGCCGGGTGTTGCGAATGCTTCGGTATCCCCGGTACATCTATACTACCAAAACGCTGTACAGTGACACCGGCGAGCTGATTGTTGAGGAGCTCCTGTTGAATGGCAAAATGACAATGTCAGCTGTGGTGAAGAAAGTAGCAGACCGACTCACGGAGACCATGGAGGGTCAGTACTGTGTCTACAGCTCTGAGCGAAAGCCTAGGTTGGCTGGCAGCGCCGTCCTCTTAGGCCTTCTCACCTGCCTCTTTCCTCTGTCTTACAGATGGCAAGACCATGGACTACGCCGAGGTATCAAATGCGTTTGTGCGACTGGCAGATACTCACTTTGTACAGCGCTGTCCTCTGGTTCCTGCCCCTGACAGTTCTGACCCTGAGCCACCACCACCTGCCCCGACTCTTGTCATTAATGAGAAGGACATGTACCTAGTTCCTAAACTGAGCTTGATAGGTAAGGAATTTCCATCCTTGAACTGTGTTTTGCCCTAATTGTGGCTTCTTCTTGACTGATTTTTTTTTATGTGAATGAACATGTGATTGTTGACCAGGTGCTTGCTGTGTGCCAGTCGCTGTCGTATGTAATAATGGAAAACCCCTGTTCCTTTCTGAGAAGACATTATCAGTCACAGAGATAGGTTATACACCGTGATGAGGGCTATGGAGAAGCTGGGTATGGAGGAACTGATTTGTGAAGTGGGTAAAAGTTAGGCTTTTCTGAGAAAGTGGAATTTGATTTGGGTCTTGAAGAAGTAGGCCCTACTGAGGCGACAGAAGATGATTTTATTTTGGTTTTTGTTTAGTTTGGTTTGGTTTGGTTTTTCAAGACAGGGTTTCTCTGTCGCTTTTTAGCCTGTCCTGGAACTCTTTCTGTAGACCAGGCTGGCCTCAAACTCACAGAGATCCTCCTGCCTCTGCCTCCCAAGTGCTGGGATTAAAGGCGTGTGCCTCCACTGCCTGGCGAAGGTGAGTATTTTTAAGACTAGTGTATAATAAGAAAAAGAAACCGAGCATTAGAGAAAGTGAAAGGTCAGTGTTGAAGCAAAGCGAGCAAAGTTCAGAGAAGCTTGAGAGAAGGCGAGAACGTGGGGGAACTAGATAAACCCGGCATTGTAAAGTGTCTGAGCTTTAACCTAAGAGCAAAGGGAGACTACTCAGGTTTTAAGCAGGAACATGACATGATCTGACTTACATTGTAACTGTCTAATAAAGACTGAAAGGATAGGGCAAAGGTAAGTGAGGCAGACTAACGAAAGATAGATATAGAAGCTGTAAGAAGACAAGTATCGCCAGGCAGTGGTGGCACACACCTTTAATTCCAGTACTCGGGGAAACAGAGGCAGAGGGATCTCTGTGAGGTCAAGGCCAATTCCAGGACAGCCAGGGCTGTTTCACAAAGAAACCCTGTCTCGAAAAAGCAAAAAAAGGAAAGTATCAAGAATGACATCTGTGAGCCAGGCAGCGGTGGCATATGCCTTTAATCCCAGCACTCGGGAGGCAGAGGCAGGCAGATCTCTGTGAGTTCGAGGCCAGCCTGGTCTACAGAGCTAGTTCCAGGACAGGCTCCAAAGCCACAGAGAAAACCCTGTCTCAAAAAACAAAAGCCGGGCGATGGTGGCATATGCCTTTAATCCCAGCACTCGGGAGGCAGAGGCAGGCAGATCTCTGTGAGTTCGAGGCCAGCCTGGTCTACAGAGCTAGTTCCAGGACAGGCTCCAAAGCCACAGAGAAACCCTTTCTCGAAAAACCGGAAAAAAAAAAAAAAAGAATGACATCTGTGTGCCTGACCTGCACCCGTGGGAGCATGATGGTACCTTTCACTGAAAGGACACATAGGAGGACAGGCAGTTTGATGGCAAAGACTATGCATTTTCTTTCTTGCTTTCTTCCTTTTTTTTCTTTCTTTTTTCTTTGAATAATTTATTTTTATTTCATGTGCATTGTTGTTTTACCTGCATGTATGTCTGTATGAGGGTGTCGAATCCCCTGGAACAGAAGTTAGATACAGACAATCGTGGGCTCCCTTGTGGGTACTGAGAATTAAACCCAGGTTCTCTGAAAGAACAGCCAGTGTTCTTAACCACTGAGCCATCTCTCCAGCCCCAGGATTTTTTTCTGGTTTTTTATTTTGGTTTGGTTTGGTTTTGGTTTTTGGCTTTTGGGTTTTTTTTTTTTTTTCTTTGTTTTTCCAGAGAGGGTCTCACTATGTAGCTCCAGCTGTCGTGGAACTCACTCTGTAGACCAGGCTGGCTGGAACTCAGAGATCCACCCACCTCTGCCTCCCCAATACCCAGCTATAAGACTGGATATTTTAAAACATACTGAGTTTCAGATAATACCCTCATTGATTTGAGTTTCTTACAGCTCCTTGGCCTCCTAAACAACTCTAACTTGAGGCAGCTACATACATCTTTGGGATAAAGAGGCACCGGCTTCATTTCCTATCATCATATGATATATAATCTAATCGTTCAGTATTTTATTTGGCAGGAAAAGGTAAGAGAAGGAGATCATCTGATGAAGATGCTACTGGAGAGCCCAAGGCCAAGAAACCAAAATACCCAGATAACAAAGAGGTAATGAGGCTTTCTGATTAGCTGTCCTCACCCTGAAGTCACCCAGAAACAGCCCTCGGATAACAAGCTCCAACAGAACCTAAATGTTTCTGGTTAAGAAGGAATAGGATTATGAACTTCAGTAAATGTTGGTCAGGAATAGACCAATAGAAGTGGAATTCTCCTACTACCTCTGCTTATTTCTCCCCTGCCCTCTTTTTACCAAGGAACAGTGAGAATGCCTGAGAGCGGGAGGGACTTCGTGGAAGGAATGTCCCATTCCCTTCTGAGGCTAACTTATTTCACTGCAAAATGGGACCAACTTACACAAAAGAGGAAGCAGGGCTAGTGTGGTATTTGCATCCCTTTAGCCCCAGCATTTGGGATGCAGAGCCAGGAGGATCTCTGTGAGTTCCAGGGCAGCCAGGGCTACCCAGGGAGACCTTGTCTCAAAAAGAGAAGAGAGACTTTGGCCAGGAATGTAGCCCAGTTGGTAGATAGCTTGCCTGGCATGAGTGAGGCCTGAATTTGATTCCCAGTACCATATAAAAGCAGAAGTGGTCCCCATTGTGATAACCATGCCTTTAATCACAGCACTTGGAAGGAGACCAGCAGATCTCTGTGAATTGGAAGCCAGTCTGGTCTACATAATGAGTTCCAGAACAGCCAGAGCTACACAGTGAGACCCTGTCTCAGATGAAACAAACCATAAGTGGTGGTGCACAACTATAATTCCAGCACTCAGAAGGTAGAGGCAAGAGAATCAGAAGTTTAGGGTTATCCCTGGCTACAAAGTAAGTCTAAGGCCAACCTGGGTTACATGAAACCCTGCCCCCCCCCCCCCCCCCCAAAAAAAAAAAACGAGAAAAGAGAACCTAGATAAAGTTCAAGATTTCAGTATGGCTGGGCAGTGGTGGCGCACGCCTTTAATCCCAGCACTCGGGAGGCAGAGGCAGGCGGATCTCTGGGAGTTCGAGGCCAGCCTGGTTTACAAGAGCTAGTTCCAGGACAGGC